CTATTATTACTAGTGTCTAAAGACACAAATAGCACTGTGGTTTAAATTTCTCTCCCAGGGGTATGCCTTCAGTTTTCCCTCTTATAATAATTTTTCCGTGAGTGATTCACCCATATTATACTAATTGGGAAATAAAGAAGGCAAAAGCACATGGAGCCTCATCAGCCACAGGCTCTTGCTGTGAGGAGTGACATTCATCAGCTTGAACTAGAACTATGAGTCACACTCCTGTCAGGTGGAATATTGTTATAACAAAATGAATGTGCTTTTCATGTAAATGTATTCACTTTATTCTCTTTTGTACCAATAATATAAAACTGTTAATGTCTTCTGGTAATAGTTCCTCTCACAAATTCTAATGAAGATAATGTCTTAAAATTGTAAACCAACATAATCTTATTTGTTTGTTTAGATTTTATTTGTTAAAGAAAAACCTACTTTAGAGACACTGTAAAGTAGTGAAAAGAACATCAGCTCAGGATTCTGACTGGGTAATCTTGGTTATAATTAGGATTATGTTCAATCTATGAGTCTTCGATAGCACAAACACTCACACACACACACAAACAGGAACTGGTAATGGTTATTTATGTTAATTAAATGCTTGGTTTAAACTTGACACAAAATTATGAAGTCCCTGGCCTCAGCTGTTCTTTACTTTATTCAATTTTCAGTGTAACATGAAAGAATACCTACCATCCTCTTAAACTTCTCATTATAAAAACAATGTGGAAAGTTACACTTAGACAAAACCCACATCCTCACTGGGAAAATACGGGTTCCAGGGTGGATGACTTAGCAGGTGTTAGTATAATGAGCTGGGAGTTAAAAAATAACTAAACAAAGACATATTTTGTCAATGGTCACCATTGCCATGTCTTATACTACTCTAATTTAGCATTCTTCTGAAAGTTTGACAAATGCAACAATTAGTTAAATAAGGAATAGAAATAGATTAATTGCAGATGATATGATGAAAGAAATACTTGTAAATAATTTTAGTGTTACCTTACAAAATCTAGAAGAATTAATGAAAACAAGTAAGTTTTACAATATGTTGAGTAACAAAGAATGGTACAAAAAGTAGTGTTCTTTACACACCAAGATTTTGGTTCCAACTACTTAGAAATGTACTAGAAGAAAAATCACACTTCATATTGTAAAAAAATACGAATTCTTAAGAACTTATCAATTTGAAGAAACCCACTTTGCTGGCAGTGCTAAAAGGAATCCTGAGTAAAAGGGATATAACTTAAAGCTGGATAAAAAGACTTAACACTCACTTCATTCAAAACAAAGAATAATAAGGGAAAACTTGCCCTACCAGCTAGCAAAACATTCTGTAAAAGTAGAATAATCCAAACCCTATGGCACATAGATACCAAACAGATCAATGGAACATAAAAAGAGATTTTAGAAACAGTTGAAGATACTAACTGGTACATTCAGTATAATTATAATTGGTGCACTTTTCTGAAGATGTTATACTTCATTAAAATAAATGTAAAACAAACTGAAACATTCAAAGTAATTTTTAACTTGTTTATTAAACTAATAATTATAAAGATAATATTAAATGAATAAATTAGAAAATCAAAACTTTGTTGGGAAAAGGTATAAACTCAAACATACTCTATTAATCTAAAAATAAAAAGATCATTATCAGACAGTAACCAATATTAACTACTGAGTAAACAAAGACTGGACAGGCCGTACCTGTGTTTATTTCGTCTCATGCAAGGCGTTGTGCTGTTTTCACTGTGCAAAAGTGCCAGTGTATTTGCATGTTGGTTAACAGGGCAATGTTGTTTTCTGCAACAGGCAGACGTACAGGGACAGCAATCAGATCAGTGATTACCAAGGAACGGGGGAGGGGCTGCAGAGAGGCACAGGGTCACTGTTTTATGGTGGCAGAACTGTTCTGTATCTTGACTGGTTGCACAACTGTATAAGCTTGTGAAAACTCACGGAAACGTTTGCTCTTTAGTGAAATTTTATTTAGTGACTCTTATTTTAGGAAATTTTATTTAGGGTTAATTTTATGGTTTGTAAATTATTCCTCAATATATTTGACTTAAAAAAAATAAAAGAGCTAGGCATATTCTTTTGCTTTCAAGCATCGTATGGGTGATTTGTTGTTTACAGAAGTTTGTAAAATCATTTCATTAAAATCATAGAATCTCGGGGGTGAAAGGAGACGCAGGCTATCTTATGTCAATTCCCACATTTTTTTCAAATAAAGAAAGTAACAGCCAGAGAAAGAAAGGATACGTGACAATGAGCAGATAGCCTCGACAATCTGCTGAAGCAAACTAGCTACCTTAGAGGCTAGAATTAAATTAGAGATATTTTTTTTTCCTCATGTAACAAAATAGAGTGCAGAAAACTGCTGACATCTGTTCACTTGAACCCAGAAATGCAGCAGCTGATTTTGAGAACAGAATTTGTAATCTTGAAATTTCTCTTTGGTTAACGCTAAGACATAAGATTTCTAATGGAAATGTTCACTAAAAAAAAAAAAAAAAAAACAACCTAATATCCATACCTAATGAATTTTATAATTTTCTAATGTTGGTTTCATTTCATAAACCATGGTTTATAAATGCATAGTTGGATCCTGTGAGAAAGTCTCAAACAGTAGCTGTCAAACGTTTTCTTTCTTCAAACAAAGCCACCCACTGAATCACACGTGCAAAGGAGACTCAGAGGTGCTGGTCCACCCAGGGTGGGAGGGGCCTGAGCCCAGGAGTGGGAGGGGCCAACACCATGCTCCCACAAGTCAGTTCTAGAAGAGTCCACAGGGATGGCTCACGGATGGAACCACGCAGCATAATCACACGTTTTTTGGTTCTCGTTAATGGGGCTTGTTAACTGGTGGTGTCCTTGAAAGGAGAAGTCTATGGCTTAGAGGGTGACATTCAGTTCAGAGGAACATGTCTCTGCCCTAGAAATTCACTTGTCGCTGTATAAAATGTCCCTTAACGTCTCTGTTTCATTCTCTGGACTGTTCTGCTCTCCTTTCTTGTTTTTAATGCCCTCTATTTTGGGGTAAGTGAGGGAAGATCAAAATTCAATTCGTTGAACTTGAATGCTTTCAAGATAGTCAAAAGGGGAGGGCGGGTAGGCAATCGGATGTGTAGGTCTGAAGCTCAGCAGAGAGGATTGAACTGCAGATAAAAATCAATGATTCTTCCATTAGGATGGCTACTATCAGAAAACAGAAAATAAGAAGTGTCGGGGAGAATATGGAGAAATTGGAGTCTCTGCACACCATTAGTGAAACATAAAATGGTACAGCTACCTTGGAAAACAGTATGGCAGTCCTAAAAGATAAAAATAAAATTAGAAATTGCATATGATCCAGCAATCTCACTTCTGGCTATATATATATACCTAAAACAATTGAAAGCAGGGTCTCAAAGAGATATCTGTGCATCCGTGTTCATAGCAACATCATTCACAATAGCAAAGACATAAAAGTAACCCAAGGGTTCACCGATGTATGACTGGGTAAGCAAAATGTAGTTTGTAAGTACAATAGAATATTCTTAAGCCTTAAAAAGGAGGAAAATTTTTGCAATACGCTACAACATGGATGAACCTCGAGAACATTATGCTAAGTAAAATGAGCCAGTCCCAAGAAGACAGACATGATATGATTCCCCTTTATATAAAGTACTTAGAGTAATCGAATTCATAGAGACAAAAATGCTAAATACCCTGGTTTGATCATTATATAACATATATATCTTTCAAAAAATAAAACTGTACCATATATATATATATATATATACTCACACACACAATTACAATGTGTCAATTAAAAATCTTTTAATCAAAAAAAAGTTTTTAAAAAGAGAGTAGAGTGGCAGTTTCCAGGGGCTGTGGGCTGGAGGAAATGGAGAGTTATCATTTAATGGGATGAGAGTTTCGGTTTTACAAGATGGGAAGAGTTCTAGGGATGGGCAATCGTGATGGTTACACAACATCGTGAATGTACTTAATGCTACCGAACCATACACTTTAAAATGGTTAAAATGGTAAAATACATGGGACATATATTTTACTACAATTTTTAAAAATTGGGAAAAAGGCGGACGAGCCTCCCCACACCAGGTGGCAATGGAAGCTGAGTCAGCGTGAACACAGGACAGGGCCTAAGAGCGAACTTGAGGCAGCAGCACTCAGAGGCTGGGGAGGGAGGGATGAGCTCGGAACAAGGTCAAGAATGTGGTTCCGGAGGTGGGAGGAAACCTGGGAGCACAGGTTCATGGAAACCAAAGGAGGGCAGTGTTTCAAGGAAGAAGAGGTCCAGTGTCAAACGCTGCTGAGATTGCAAACAAAGTTGGAAATGCCCACAAGATTTAACAGCGTGGCGGTCACTGGTGACCTCCAGAACTGTCTCCTGTCCTGTCCGGGGACCCTTCATGACCGTAAACTCCTTGAGAGCAGCACCTTGAACAGAGCTCTGCATCCTCCTGTGATGCCCTTCACTTAGGTACCCAATGGATATTTATCATATAGTGAATCCACTGATGCACCCGAATCCTTAAAAAGGTAGTGAGTGTATCTGGGGAGGGTGATTGAACTCCGTGTTCTGATTGTGTTGGCAGTTCTACAAATTGATAAATGTGTGAAAACTCATAGAACCATACACCTCAAATGAATCCATTTTACTGTTTCTTAATTGAAAAAAAATTTAAAAATAGTAATGGTAAGATTTTTTCTTACAAGGTGGTGGGCTCTTACGTATTTATTGTAAAATGATTCTTTAAATCTTATATGTATTTTCTAAATAGTCCTTTGTATTTACCCAAGATTTGATAAAAATATTGAATATCGAATAAAACACCTCAAGTTTTAAGTAAGGCGTTTAGGAGAAGTACAGGAAAGGTGGTAGGAAATCTGTGGAAACACATGCATAATTTATGTCAATACCAAGAGAAATGGAAAAGAGCAACATAAAATCTGTATTGTCTCATTTTTTTTTTTTTTCACAGACAGGAATGGGTCACTTGCAAGTAACAAAAGATGGACTTCGGCTGGAAGGGGAGTCGGAATTTTTATTCCCGCTGTACGCCAAAGAAATATGCTCCAGAACGGTAAGAAAATGAGGAAAGATTTAAATAATATGTGTTTTATGAAAAATAAATGAGAGGATCAATGCTAAAATTATTGGTAAAATATCAACTGTAATCATCATGCTAGTCATTGTCTAACAATGCAAAAACAAGTATTAAGGTCACATCATTGGATAAAACGTCAGATGTTGGTAGATCCATGTGCTTTTACAAAGCAAGTGGAGAATTCTAACATCCTAGACAGAGCTCCCAAGGGCTCTTGAAACTTCTTTTCTTCTGAAAAATCACATGAATCCCTACCACTTTGGAAGATATTTGGTTTTCTCTGAGTGAACAATAAACCCACCAGCATCCAATAGCCAAATTACAGCATTCCTCTTGAAGATTGTTTATATAAAAGCAATCTCCTGTAAAACAAAACACCCCATCAGAATCACAGTAACCCAGAAAGCACTGACATGCTTACAAAGCCACTTCATCTTCAACAGAAAGTACCAAAAAAAAGCACCAAAAATTTTTAAAAGCTTATTTGAAATTGTGAGAAGCCTTTGTGTTTTGAAAATAAGTAACAAGCTATTTCTTATAGAAAGGCTAACCATCCTCTGATTTATGTCATGTCTTAAAAATATGTCATGTCCTGGACCTAAATAACAAGAATTGGTATTTTAATTCCTTGGAAAAGAAAAAGCACTGATTGGTCGTAATAAAACGTGGGCCGAATAAAACGTTAACCTGAAAAACAAATAATAAAAACGAAAAATAAAAACAAGGCAAGCAAACAGTATAAACCCAAGAAATCATTATATTTTATTTTAAAAAGTTAATACTTTTACTCCCTTAACATAATATAATTCAGGACTTTTTAATAGTTTTAGCCACAAATTGATAGTTTCCCAGGATCTGTGACTATGGAGAAATAAGTTTACATAAAGCCTAAATTTATATGGAAATAAAAGATATAACCATTTTAAATAGTACATATCTTGCTAATTTTTGAACATTTGTTTCTAGGACTCGCCTCTGCTTCTGCAGTCCACGCAGAATGTGACCCTGAACGCACGTAACTCGGAAGGGGAGGTCACGGGCAGGTTAAAAGTGGGTGAGTCCAGCTTCATCACCGTGCTTTGCCTGCATGTGGTCCAGGAATAGCGCTAAGTGGATAGATTGTTCATTCTTCTAAAGAATCCAAAGCTATTTAGGAACAAAGTATGAATTTTCTAAATATGCTGGGTTGACCACAGAGAATAGTTTGTACCACAGGAGGGGGGTGGGGGGGTAGGGATGCGGAGACAGCCTGAAGGGTTCCAATTAAACTTATCTGGGTTCCAAGAAATAGAGAGCCATCGGGCTGGTGAGAGAAACAAAACGGTTATTGCAGGACACCCAAGAATCTGGTCTCCAGAGAGCAGAGTGGTCTCTTGGCTGACAGCCGAAAGGATATTCAGAACCTCTCTGCCTCTCTGGATGAGCGGGCTTATCCAGGCTGGTCCACAGTGGAAAAATTTTCAAGTCGGCATGGCCTTAAGGGACTTTTGGTCATGGAGAGGATCGTGAATGGGAAACAAAGCTAAGATTTCGCAACCAAGACACATGGCAGAACTTCAGCAGAGCAGGCCAGGAATAAGAAAAGGCAAGTCCTGTGGACAGCCAGACTTATAAGGTGGAACTAGATAAGACAAGCTTACACCAAAATATCACTAGAGCTAACTTAACCATGCTTTTGTGCTTCCAGTACTTTCTCTATGATAACATATTTGTAGCAGCAGAATATATGTTTCCTTTTTCTAAAGGACTCCATGGTGTTTATTTTTAAATGAAAGATATCATGAAAGAAGAAAAGGTTGGTAATGAGACATACTGTATGTAAGGAAGGATTTGACTGTATTTTCACTAGAAAAACCCTTAAGCTAATATCACACACTTAATTAATCAGATCGTAAGCCATTCACTTTTCCTTCTCTGTACCAGAGCCTTTCATTAAAAATCATATTCTTCAGATGGGCTCTTTCATTATCAACAAGGTGGAATTGGAATTTTATTTCTTAAAGATCTCTACTGCAAAAGTTAATTACTTTTTCAGCTCTAATCAATGTCCAAGTAGGTTATAAAACATGGAATATTAATAAGCGTTAAAAAATTAAATTGCAAACTTAGTAATTATGGGCTTGCTAGCACTTGAAGAACCGTCCAGTTTCCTCTGAAGTAGAAAGCATATTTAAATTTAGACATTGTCTATTTTTTTTTTTTTATAAAATGGAGATGGAGTGTTATTCACCTCCATGCCTTTGCTCAGGTGGTTCCCTCTACCTGGAGGGCCTGGTTCTCCCTTCATCAGGGAGACATGCCTTCTTCAAGGCCAGCTCAGACATGATCCCCTGGATGCTGTCGTGACCCCAGAGGACAGACCGTGCATTCCTGGTCAGGACTCTGTCACGCTTGTACCAAGCACTCATCAAATTGTCCTGAAACGAGGCTTATATGCTTTCCCCCTTAGTGGACCACAGACTGGTGTAAGTTACGAGCTCCATCTCACTTGTTCATACGCCCTCATCCCTTAGCACAGCACCTTGCACGTAGAAAGCATGCAAAACGAATTTGTGTTGAATGGGACGGACTCACTTTCCTGCATTTTCTTTGCTTTGATTAAAAGTTTATATGGCTTTGCTACTCATACATGATATGTAAGTAAGGTCATTTTGGCCATTTTGTCATTGTATATTAAATAATAGTTACAGAAAAAAATTCATCATTTACTTTAACTCCTTACACTTAATAGAGCCTTTTAGAATTGTTATATAAACCTCCAATGAGCAAAGAAGAGATTCAAGATATGATTTCTTCTGGGTTAACTTTAACCACAAAAGTGAGGCATTTGTAATATGGTCTTCCACAAATCTCACATTTCGGATTGCAAGATCCTTACTTGGTTAATAAGCTAAAGAATACAAGTTTAATTATGAATAGGAGACGTTATTTGGGACAGGTTTTAAAAATCTTAGGAAATAAACTTATACTTTATTCATACATATATTTGAGATTGATTAACATATGTGTGTCTTAAATTAATCTTAATAATACAATAGATATAGGCTTAAAACTTGAAAAGGTTAATCATGGAACAAAAATGACCTGGTGGGTACAATGTACACTATTCAGGTGATGGGTATAGCAAAAAGGCAGACTTCACGCTGTACAATATACCCATGAAACAAAACTGCATTGGTACCCCTAAACCTATTGAAATAAGAAAAATTTAAAAAAATTAAAAAACTATCAGCAACAAATCCTAAATGTTTAGTTATTTGATATTGCTGAGTGACATGGCATGTGTAAAACAGAGATTTTTACACTGCTTGTCGTAAACACTTTATAATTATCTGTTTTAATTAATCCATCAGGTCCCCAAATGGTAGAAGTGCAGAGTCAGCAGTTTCAGATCAGCTCCAAAGACGGCAAGCCGCTGTTCACTGCTGACGAAAAGGAAGTTGTGGTTGGTACAGGCAAACTTAGAGTGACTGGTACGTAGTAATTTTTTGACAAAAACAATGTTCCAGAGAGCAAACTTCTGCAAAAGCAGATGTACTTTTGGCAGGTTTACCTTGGAATTTTTCAGGCAGATAAGATAAGGGAATTTGAATTTGTTGACTTTCCTGGTGGCATTTCTACTGCAAATCTTTGGTTCTCTCCTAGAAGAATGAAATCCTTCTCACAAATCTTTGCCCACTCTCTTCCTCTGCTATCTTGTTGCCCTTTGTGTCTTTCCAAGTGACTGACTCAAAGGCTTGTCCTAGTTCTCTATAGTCTCCACAATTCAAGTCTCTGTTTTCCAAGTTTCTTTTATGCCCATGATATCAGGTACTTGGATTTGCTACATTTCCACAAAAAAACTTTTCTCTTCCTGAACTAAAGATTGACTAGGGTTCAAAACGGACTCATTTGCAAAAACCTGAGGCAGAATGGCTGACTAGAGACATGGGTTGCCAGATCGTCTCAGAAAGAAGGAGAAGTTTTAGATGGGAAAAAAAACAAAACAAAAAAAACAAAACATAGCTCAGGTAGAATTCCGAGAGAACCGTGCCAGAGTCTACCAGAGATTCCATGGGAAGAAGTTGCAGAGCAGGACAAGAAGGAACAAGATTTCATGAGAAATCCACCCCAAAGGCTGCTGCTGGCATCTTGGGGGCTGCAGGCAGGGGGCAGGGGCAGAGGCAGCACCAAGCAATCCACAGCGGAGCCGGGTGAGACCGCCTGTGGCTGAGCCCCAGGTGAGCGTGGCCGCCACCAAACAGCCGGTGCCCAGCAAGTTGCCAGCAGGCCTCTCCATCCAGGAAATTTTCCCCCAGAGCCACCGAGGGGGAGTGGGTGCAGGGTCCGGCTGCTGCCATTGGAAGCGCTTATCCTGAAGCCACGTTACCTGTGGGCTCAAAGGGTAGGATGCCAGTTGAAAGAGAGTAGTTTTAGGTTTACAAAAAAAAAATGAAGGTAACCTGAACTAGGGGGTAGCAAGGGCCACAGAGGGATGTGAATTATTCCAGGTTAGGGTCTGACAGATAGAGACTTGCCCATGGACCAAATGGGTGGCAGGCATTTACAGAAGAGAATCAAAGATGGTATTTGCTAGATTCCTGATACCAAAGCACTACTCATGTTTCAAACAACGCTGCTATTAATATACAAACCACAGCAAATCTACTTATCATATGAAACCATGCCTAGCACATCCCTACTGGTCTTCTTAACGGCTGACTTGAGGTGTCTTTTCCTTTGCTTTTGCTTTTATATCTTGCAAGCATAGAAGCAATGAGGAAAGAAAAGGATAAAGTGGACGTGTGTGTCACACAAATCAGTCTGCTAGATTGTTTCCTGCTCTTCCACAAACGAAAAGTGTTGTCTATACTTTCAGGCAACCCAGACACTGCACTGTAAAATTTGATTGGCACAGATTATTGCAGAAACTCCAGTGCTCAGTATGGCCTTGGTTTACATAACGGTCCCATTATCATTTAGGTTTGATTACGTGGCGTTTTAAGATGTGACTTGGTATAGCATGCGTGAGGGTCTGTTTCCCATCTGAATATAATTCACATAAGTAATAATATCATTTTCATGAAACATTAACTTGCATTTATGTGTGTTCTTCCATTTCAGTTTATTATAGTTTTTATGTAAATCATTTCACTGAATCCGTCTGTAATCTTTACATTTCATTTTGTACTGAGTTAAGTCTTCTTTACTTATGTGCCACAAGATATTATTCCTTGAATACAGCCTTCAGTTGGGATTTTGTCACGTCTTCACATTTAAATAAAATAAAATTACTAGGGAAGCAGTAATTATAATAAAGACGCTAACGCGGGTAGTAATATCGTGGCGAGAATGAGAGGGCCTTGTGAATAGTTAAATCGGTAAGAGCTCTGACAAGCCCTTTCACCTGGGACGATCATTTCTCAACCTAGTGTCCGGGGAACTTTCACCCAGGCGACTTTTTTTCAATGTCTAATATCAAAACTGGCACAAGGGTAGATTAGAAAGTAAACATTCCAGTTGCTTCGGTGATTTGCGATGGGGCTCCCTTCCAATAAACCCGTGACAAAGGTGAACCAGCGTCATTAGGGAACCATCTGCATTTCTAAAAGGAGAAAGTCTCCCCAGTGTGAGGATGAGTCCTGAGGTCTTGGTGGAACCAAGGACAGAAACAAATTATTTGCAAACCGCAGCCCCTAACCCAGGAGGGGCCCAAACCAAGGCTGGGTCCTAAGATAAGCGTGACCAAGCCGGGCAAGTCAGGATGAGTGTACACAGGCAGTGCGGTGCTACCTAAATCTGCTTGTGCTTATAAAATGCAAGGGGAGAATTATTTTAAATATAATATGAAATATAATATAAATATAAAATAAATATATAATATATATAATGAAAGATAAACTGTATTTCCATTGGAATCCAGTGCATTCCAGTGAACTGGAGTATTCGTTCGTCCTATACATTCACACATTTTCCTGCCCCGGGCTACTGCTCTTTTTTAAATCCTTGCCCACAATTCCCGTGTGTTCATAAATGCCTATTTATTTTAAGGTTCGGCCCACTGCATTTTACTGTATAGTTTCACTGCTGCCTTAAAATAATTCCTCCCTGATGTGACTCTCAAATAATTTAGTTGCACTTGTTACTGCATATTAATTTCATCATATATTGTTTGCTGTTGTATGTATCAGAAACTCTATAGCATTATAGGTTAAATTAAAAAGTGTGGTTCTGAATTCAAATTACAGCCCTGCCACTTCTCAGCTGTGTAACCCTAGGCCAGTTGATTAGCCTTTCTGTTCCTCAGTTTCCTCTGGGTAAAATGGGAAAATATCACCTGCATCACAGGATTCTGAGTAGAAACAAGTTGGGTACACCAAAGAGCAACCACTTTCCCATGTTTGCCTGCACGACAGCTGACACAGGGCCTTGTACACAGTTAGAACAAAACAACTGCGCACAATACCTATTCCTAGGAAGTAGAAGGTCTATTTTAAATATTTAAAACTTTTGATTTTTTCCATAAATATCCTGATGTGCTTTAGAAACAAATGGCACAAGATATAACTTTTACGCATAAAACCCAGAGAATTAGTCAAATTACTGTTACCTAAATTATATAGATGCAGTTTTCAGATGGAATTTTCTTTTACAATTGACGGCTAATATGGCCTCTAAGTTTTAAAATAAGTCTGCTGATTTGTAATTGCTTTGAGAATCAATTTGTTTGAAGGAACTAGTGAATGTTGGCCTCCTCTGACAAGTACAGAAGCAGTGTGGGTAATATATATTTTTTCCCTTGCAGCTCAAACATCTGTACAAATTCAGCAACAAAGAGCAAAATCTGTGTGTGCTTTAATAGTAGGCTAAATGTTTATTTGTTTGGCCCATTATTTTACCTCTGTTTGTGATACATCTTTGGCTTTGTCTAGGGCCTGAAGGAGCTCTTTTTGAACATTCAGTGGAGACACCCCTTGTCACAGCGGACCCCTTTCCAGACCTTCGGTAAGAATTCTCATTCAAATATAAAAAAAAAAACAAACTTGCTTATAGAAGACAACTGAATATGTACTGGGATTATATGCTAGCAGGCACTACTACCTGATTGTTTCTTATTCCGTTATTTGTCTTGATTTTCAAGACTTTCCACTTGAAACCAGGTGTCATTTATTAAAATCCTAAGGTGGCCAAAAGTCCTGCTGCCTCTACAGTCTTGTTGCCTCTGAACTGCACACCTCTACCTTCCCTGTGCCCACGATTCCAACAGCTGGGTCCTGCCTGTGGTTTGTTCCTCTCCAGTCTGCCCCGAACACTGGTATCAGAGTGACCTTGCTCAATGTAGACTGTTGAAATTGCTTCATTGGCCCCCACATCAGCCGGGGGAAAATCCCAAGTGCTCCTTGGGTGCTATGGCTGGCAGCTGCCTCCTCCCTTACCTAAGCACCCCTCCCCACCGCCAAGTGGCCGCCCTCCCCTCCCCTCTTCCTCCACCCAATCCTTTCCCACAGGCTGTTCCATCTGCCTGGAGTGCCCGTCCTTCCCTTAGAGGTCCTGTGAATGTCTGCTCATCCCTCAAGTGTTAATTCAGATGCCATGGGTTTATGATTCGTGTATTTGACAAACTCAGTCATTTTCCCCTGAAAAGCAGCAGCATAAGTTTCCTGAAGCTTTTTGCAGTTCTTAACACAAAACGTGCGTGTAGTCATGTTATGTCATCCATTACTAAACCATCTGCAGACGGGGCAACAGTGGAAGAGAAGGAACAGTGGAAGAGAAAGGTGCCCTACGTGGACTTGGAAATGTGACAAAAGACATTTTTGAAAATGGCAATTTACTTTAAAAATTTTGAAAATATGTACACCAGTAGTAGAGAAAATAACTATAAAAACCAAGTGCATCATAAATCCATATTTGCGAAATAGTTGGAAACCTCTTTTTTCATTTGTAGTAAAATACACATAACATAAAAATCACCAAGTTACCTGTTTTCAGGGCACAGTTCAGGAGGGCTATGCGCATTCACACTGTGGCACAACCATCACCACCATCCACCACCAAACTTTTTCATCTTCCCAAACAGAAACTCTGTCGCCGTTAAACACTAACTCCCCATTCCCCTCCCCCTCCCCTTCCTCTCCCACCACCCATCTCGCAACCCCTGTTCCACTTTCTGTCTCTATGGATCTGACTCCAGGGACCTCGTACGAGTGAAATCATACAGTATGTGTCTTGTTGCGACTAGCTTATTTGACTTAGCATAATGTCCCGAGCCTTTTGTAGATCTTTATATAATATTCCAAATACATATAACCACCCAGTTCCATATATAATTTCTTTCTTTTTACAGAGTCTTTGTGCCTGTGTGTATTTCAGTGTATCACTAGGCTACTGAATGGCCTTTACCACTGTAACTGTTATATTGCAATTATATATTTGTATTTCATGACAAAACCAAATCGTATTTTTAAAAGCAAATGGTCTTAAAGTCCAAGCTATTGCTGAAAATCACATTGAGAATTTGAACTGGAAGTCCATGTAGGACAACTAACGTGTTATAACACATCCTGTATGATAGGGAAGATGAAGTGCAGTGGCAACCCCCGCCGTACACAAACAAGCCTGTGACCTCGGCCGGACTAACCTTTCCAGACCATTTTGTCTCATATTAAAAATTACTGCTAGTAATCCCTGCCTCAGCGTATTCCAGGAAATATTTAATGAGACACTATGTTAGAAGCATTTTGTCAACTGAAAAGTCAAATACAAGCAATCTTTTTATTATTATTATACTAAATAGATATTCACACTAAATAGGAGTTAGAAATTCAGCATTTCTCTTATCTGTAATGTCTAATTAAATATTCACAAAAGAAAGGAGGAATTCAATTTATCTTACCCACTTAGGGAACACTTGTAACATAAAAATAAATCGTGGCTATAATTAAATTATAACAGCGCTCATTAATTTTGATAAAGGATCCTAAGATCAATAGTAAAGAATTTTTATAGAGAAGAAGAACATTTAACTTTCCTAGGATAGAAAAATGATTCAGTATCTTTGAAAACCATCCTATTAAAACCATTTTAAAATTGTAAAATAATGTAAATTGTAGAGATGACAGACCACTTTTTAAAGCGAATGTCGGTGTTTTAAAATATATGGGTCTCGAATAATTCATCTTATGTTGTCCCATTAAAACTCAAGTTTTTTTTTTTTTTTTCCAATTTTGGAAAATTATCAGCCATCATTTCTTCCCATGTGTATCTTCCTCATCCTCTATAGCAGGCGACCTCAGACCACAACCCGAGGGCCACATGCGGCCCTTGCGGCGGCTGCCTGTCCCGCTTAGCAGCCGACTGGCCCCGGGCCCACAGTGCGCACGTGTGGAATGTGCGCCGGGCTCTCCAACGGTCTGAGGGACAGTGACCTGGGCCCCGGGTTAAAAAGTTTGAGGACCCCTGCTCTAGAGTGTAGGGGTTCTTACCTGGTGGCCTGTGGACCTTGTTGGGAAAGCCCTTCAGGAGGGAGGCGGGGAGCTGCCCCTCTCCCCTTGGTGAGCAGGGGAAAGTCACTTTTCTTCATCCCTCACCTAGGAGGTATCTGCTACTCTACAGGACAGCTGGCTTGGCTCTCGCACGTTGCTAGGGGTAAGGCCGAGGGCAAACCCGTTACTTACGGCGAGGTATGCGACAGGACATCTGTCTCTGATCCAGAACACCTCCTGTGTGTATTCAGGATAGCATTACTCAAGACGAATATCAAAAACCCAACACTTCCTAAATGAAGGAAGGTCATCTTTTAGTTTATCTTTATACCCAGTTTCTCAAATTTTAGAAAAGAGATTTTTTTTTTTAATTGAAATTACTTTTCTTTGTCCTGTGGCCTCCAAACCCACCACTATGACCTTCGTCTTTGGCAGATCACTTAATGCAGCTCACAGCTCCTTTCAACTTTTCTCTTTCCCAATTCTAAAATTTACTCTAAATTTGCATGTATTCTTTTTTTTTTTTTTTTTAAATGCAATCTTGGAGAAAAAGGTGTAGTCGTGGCTTTTCCAAGGCTTCGCTTGCCACCTACTCTCTTGGCCCCAACTCCTCCCATTGCTTCTAAAATCTTAGGCCATTAATCACTTTCCACGTCTCCATATACGAGGCCTGTCCGGAAAGTACCCGGCCATTGTTAACATAATGGTCATGTCGAGGTCGTGTTGTTGTAGTGTAATAGTTGATCTTGGAAACAGACTCGGCTTCACTAGCATCTTCAAGGTCACAGCCCGGACCCGAAGGTGCTTCTGTGTTCTGCAGTCCTCGCCTCCAGGCAGGGGAAATGGAGGCAACCAGCAGAGGCCAAAATAGCAACTGGGCAGGCAGACAGCCAGAGCAGGCACGTGTAAACATACCCAAGTGCTTCCCCACAAATTAAGCCCCACCTAATTTGACCAGTAAATTCCAATGTCTTTAAGAGTTTTCTCATACTGAAGGTAGTAAGATTTCAAAATGTGTAGCAGGTGGAATTTTGCATGCTCAGATGTACATAGGAAAATGAGACTTTATCTTGTATAGCAAAAAGTGATTGACAAAAAACTTGCCAATTCAAGGTAGCGATCCATCTCATCTAAAAGTCTGTCAAATAAACATTCGACCGATTTAAATGCAAATCCATTATCAGGGTATTTTCCCTTAAGCCATTTCCCTTTCTCCCTCCTCTCAGACCCGCTCCCCCCAGCCGATGCTGCCCTGCAGTGGGCAGGATATCCGAATTATGTCTTTTTCGTTCTCCCCTTTATTACTCTTTAATATCTCAGTGAAATCAGCTTTTTAAACATTCGTGCTGAGCAGCTGAAAAACTTTCAAGCGCTCACATTGTGCCACCTGGTGGAAAGTCAGTCTTTGTTTAGCAGAGGCAAATGAGAATTTTTCTGGCCTGTATATTCCTGGTTCTATTCCTATGTTTGGCTTAACCACAAGAAGAGTCTGATAAATTTTACAAAAATTAAGCCAGCCTGGGCCAACCTACATCCTGTGTATCAACTCTATCAGTTCAATACTTTCTCCAAAATAAATCTTTTCATCTGCCCTGTAACTTTTCTACATTAAAAATAAGAAAAAGCCTGCAAACGAAATCTAAAGACCAAACTTACATTGTCTCATAAACGTGTGGCAAATGCATGTGTTGTCTTTAATTCTTTTTCCCAAACAAGTTTGTGTTTTAACTAAAAACTAGTTTTGCAAAGTTATTCACAAATGGCGTTTTCTTCCAGTGTGGTGCTGTTGTGTGCTTAACCGGGTCATCTGAAACTACTGCCCAGGATCAAGGCTGACAAATATTTCTGTTTTTTAGCAGATATGAATCTCATAGGCTGTCATTGATAGGAAGTTTTTTTTTTAAACTACACGTTATTTCTGGATGTATCAATGAATAATGCACAATATGTTAGCATACAAGAATGACTTGAAGGCCAGGCATGGTGGCTCACTCCTGTAATCCTAGCACTCTGGGATGCTGAGACTAGAGGATCACTCAAGCTCGGGAGTTCGAGACCAGCCTGAGCAAGAGCAAGACCTCATCTCTACTAAAAATAGAAAGAAATTAATTGGCTAATCAAAAATATATAGAAAAAAATTAGCCAGGCATGGTGGCGCATATCTGTAGTCCCAGCTACTCAAGAGGCTGAGGCAGAAGAATTGCTTGAGCCCAGGAGTTTGAGGTTGCTGTGAGCTAGGCTTATACCACAGCACTCTAGCCTGGGCAACAGGGTGAGACTCTGCCTCAAAAAAAAAAATGACTTGAAGATTTTGTATACCTTATTGTGTTTTCTATGCTAGGCCATTGGTTGAGAGATTGCTGGGGTGGCTTCTTTTTAATACTCTTTTCATTACTTCTTCTCCTCATTTCAGGTTAGAATCCCCCACCCGGAGTCTGAGCATGAACGCCCCAAGGGGCATTCACATTAAAGCGCTTGCTGGAGAAATCGAGGCCCTTTCCCAGGAGGATATCATTCTCCACAGCAGCGAAGGAACGGTGAGTTCAGTGGATGGAGCTCCCATTGTATGTCCATCGAGGTATTGGAGTTACATTTCCAGTAGTTTGTAACAACAAATTTATGGACGGCATAGAGTAGAAAATGTGAAAGGAGAGCAAGAGATAATTTAGCATTACCAGAAGGAGCAAGAAAGGTTAAAATTAATTCTATATTAGATGCACAGAGCTTTCTTTGGTTGGCATTTGTGCTATCAAGTCACTTGTTATTTTCAACTTTGAGAAAACACTGCATACTTTCAGAGTTCACAGAAACTATCAATTTTGCCATTTTCTAGCGATCCAACTGCTCTCAGTTTGTCGCTAGGAGTTCCCCGTACATGACAGCCACCATGTCATTGCCCAGAGTGCTGGGCTTGTCACATGGAATTAATTACGTGTAAAGGAAATTGAAAGGTGGATAATCACAGCATTTTTTTTATTTTAAAAGCCAACTACAATGAGGATAAAACCTGAGACTTCAAGTCTAGAAGCACAACAGTCTCCCAGGAGATTCTGCTTTTAAAATAAAATAACATCTCTCCAGCTTGAGTCTGACAGCGCACCAGACCCCGTAGGGCCAGGCTGGGCCTGTGACACGGCTGCTGGCCCGGCACTACACACACGGCGGGCGGGGCGGCCGGGCGGCAGGCAGGGTCAATCCTAGATGGGAAGGTGTGGATGAGAGCGACAGAGCGCAGGGAGCTCGCCTTGTGGACAAGGAAGAAAGTTACGCCTACCCACAATATACCTTAACTCTTCCTGACCAGTGAGCGCCCTGAAGTGAACAAGGTTTTGCTGCTCAGTGTGCCGATTCTCATTTCCTTATCAAAAAGATTTCCAAACCTCCATCAATGGCTATTTGTCTGCATTTCAGTTTAACTAGATGACAATAGGACCAGAAGACCCAGTGCCTTTCATCTTAATTGGCTTTAGTCTGTGTGTCTGCTGCTTTTCAGCACCTGATGGACAACAGTGGAGTTTTCAAATAATATCTAAAAGTTAGGGAAATTTCAATGTTCGAAGGTAAAAACTGTTAAGCCCTATTTCTGTGGACTGTACTACTCTGTGGATTGTAACTGGGGAGGAGACGATTTAGCATAAAGTCAAAGGAGTTCAAAAGATAAATGTGAATCGGGAGAAGAATTCCATTATTTTTGCCGAGTAGTTCTGAGACGCATTTTTAGGAGTGTAACATCATAAAACTGAAATGCAATGCTGTTTACCAAGCACGCAAACTGTTGTGACGATGGGTCACATTTCCCAGCTGGCCTAGCACAGGGGAAGAAGGATGAGTGGCCCTGCTCCGACTTGGAGGAGGAATTGTCAAGCCCCTGCCTGTGGGTAAGACAGAACCAGGCTTCAAAAGCCTCAGACAGTTATGATATGATTCACATAAAGCCAGATGCCTACTTCATTTTCTATGAGGAGAAAAACTAATTTGTTTAAAACATTTTGAGACCACGACTTTCCTGTTCATTCCTCCCCTAACATCTCACCTCTCATTTTCTCCCAACAGCTTGTGCTTGATGCTGAAACCCTGTGTCTACCCAAGTTGGTACAGGGGACTCAGGGTCCCGCTGGCAGCTCACAGGGACTCTATGAGATTTGCGTGTGTCCAGATGGGAAGCTGTTCCTGTCTGCGGCTGGCATGGCCACCACGTGCCAGGAGCACAGTCACATCTGTCTCTGAGCGGCCTGCCCCTCCCATGGAGCACCCACCCCCTCCAGGGAGCAGCGCGGTGCCGCCGGCCTCAAGCCCTCACACCTGGGGAGTGGCCGGACATCCTGCAGGACCGGGGAGGTGACCATGGGCAGGAGGCAGGAGGACATGCTTTCCAGAGGAACTAAAAAACTACATGATCTCAAAATGGCGTGTGGATGTTAGAAACAGAAGTGGAAGAAATATCAAAGCAACATATTTATTCCACGGGATTAATTTTCATGAGAACAATTGTGACTGTTCCACACCTCCCTCCCCAGTACTCGGACATGTCCACGTGCAATGAAGTGTTGAGTTGCTGTGTGGAACTGATTTATGATATTCAACTGTGGATACTAACTCCCTGTAAGTCACATTGGTCAGTGCTAAAATGCTTCCTTTCTATCACTCAAACCTCAAGGTCTCCCTTCAGCTGGATGCAAGGTGTGTCAGGCTACACAAGAAAATCTTCACGTTTTAAAGTGAATTTGAGATTTATCTGATTTTCAATATGGAGTCAAAGGAATAAATTACACAAAATCAGTCATGTAAGCAATAAACATCAACCTATATTTTTCACATACTTCACAGTTGAAGAGTGCCTTACTTTCCTTAATCCTCACAACACTTTGAGGTAGGCATTATTTTTCCCCAAGTGTCTGGTGACAAAGACTCAGGACAAGTCACGTCACACAGCAACTACTGCAATCAAACCAAAATGTTTGCATAGCATTTTCACTTTGAAAAACGCTGATATGCTGCCTCATTCCATCCAGAACACCCAGCTGTGTGATAACCAGACAGATGAAGTTACACTTATTTGACAAATGCAGAACCTGGGTCCCAAAGGGGTCTAGTCACCCACCAGGATCAATGGTCTTGATCAGCGCAAGGCGGGCTCCTCCCTGCTCAGCCCAGGTACTTACCTCCTCCGTGCAGCAGATAAAAGACTGGCTGTAACTTCACGGGACCAGATGCTCGCAGCTTGTGGAAATGTTTAGTGCCAGTGGGTGTGTCAGTTGCCATAGACATCAATGGGACACATCTAACACACGGAGACAGGTTTGCTCTGTGCAGGCCACTCACTCACTTTGTAAGGTGCGCTCCATCACAAAATTGGTAGGATTGGTTTTGGTTTTGTTTTACCTATTGTTACAATAAGAATCTCCAAACAGCTCAAGACACAGTGAGACCAACAACATTGCCACTTTCTGATGACAGGGTTTATAACTGTAAACACAAGTTCATTTGCTACAATCTCAGAATCAAGAGAAAGGAGAAAAGGGAACTCCTTATTTCTAGTGCTGTTTTAATATGTTCATTTAACAGCGCAGCTAACTTAAAACAACTCTCCCTGGTTTTTAAATTGCTAGTATGCATGAACACTTGAGATTGCAAAGTAAAAATACAGTGCTTCCCAAGCAGTTAAGAGCAAAACACTCAACTCTAAATGTAATGCTCCTCAAGTTTCACAGAGGGCTGTGTGCTTTCAATTATAAATTGGCGTTAACCTTTTACACTTAGTTAAGTCCTGATTTTTTAAATTAATATCTGCTTTCCTACTGCAGTATTCCTATTGTCATAGTAAATAGTTCTGCTGTTTTGTCACATTTACTCTCCTGTTCCATGTTTGTACAAGACATGTCTTCAATTCCAGTTGACCACAACACAGGGTCACTGAACATTGATAAACTAGCTTGGTTCTCACAGTACATGTCCAAGAAATGGTGCTTAGACGATAAAGTGAGGTCAAGAAAAATAATCAAGGAGAAAGTATGGAGAATAGAACCTTTTGAATAAAAGTTAAACCTTTCTATTTTTTACTCCTTTGCTACTGGAATCATTTTGAAAGAAGTTGTTATGGATAGCTGCATTCTCCAAAATGATTAGGAATCTATCCTTCAATAGAATCAAAGCTTTTAGATGGGCTGTATTCTAAAATGGATTGCATAAATCTGTCTTCTTAAACACACTACACAATGTGATTGAATTTTCATTGAAGGTCCAAGGTCATGATTATGAACATAGATAATGAGGTATATAAACCAATACTCCAATGGCTATGGAGTATTAGCCACAATACTAAGTGGCTATGGACTATTGAGTGTTGATATTTTAGGGATTCAAAACTAGCAATTATTTCTTTTCCATTCTCTGAGCTAACTGCGAAGCAGACATAAGTCAGAAACATGAAGATCAAAATATAAGCTTTAATAGTAAAAGACATTTGTTATGCAGCAAATGTACTTCCTAATACTTCACAGCTGAATAAAACATGAACTGCTCCAGTCACAGGCAGAACTACAGGCCCCCAACTCCCATAGCTTACCCTGTGGTCCCCAAACCCAAACACCATGACCCCAAGGAAAAAAAATGTTTTTCCTAGTGTGGCAGTCCATGTGTTAAATAAAGCTGAGATCCAGAATTTGGGTAGCTCCAGAACATAGAACTCTTAGCCCTCGTCTGCCTAACTTTGAAGACTTGCGCCTCAGGTGTAAAAACAAACATTCCCTATCTGTCAGGGCTCACATGTGAATTAGCTTCAGACATGCAGCTGTCTTCTGAGGCAAGCAAAATACCAATTCAGCCTCCACCTACAGGAGAACCATATCTAATGTATCCATTTCCAAATACATATATACACAATATGTATCAACTAATCTTATTCCCTAAAAAGGTGAAATAAAATAAACTCTTAACTAAATCAATGAGCACCTAATAAACTTAAGTATATACCAAGTATTTTATATTCAATCAATCCTAAAAAAGAAACCTCCTAAAATTTCAGCATAAAAATATAGGAATATTCTATCCTTACATTTTCAATAAACGCTCACACACTCACACACACACCACCCCCCAAAACTTAATATATGAAGATATTGTTTGAATTCCAATGAACTATTTCTCAGGAATACCAGTTACAGTAATTTCATATGTACATCTGCTTTATTAAAATTATGGCACTTAATATAATAGCAGAAATAATTACATAATTTCACATCCAGAAGCAATACAATTGTGAAGGCGCAAACATTCCTTATTACCAATAAAAGTAAAAAAAGTTTTAACACATTCTGTAAGCCCTTAATTGCATAAAATATATATTTAGCATCATTTACAGCCAGTACACTTATATAAACTAATTATCATTACCTTTCTTTTACATTCTACAAAAGAAACATACTAAGTATGGTGAGACACTTGAACATGATGAAAATTAAATGTCAGTTCTCAGTCATTCACAGGGAAAATACAAGCTGATAATTCCTCCTTTATAAACTACTAGATATCATCATGATTTTAACAATTTTTTAATGTTTTTAAGGTAAAATTTAAAAACAAAAACTCCACTAAGTGCCATATTGAAAGACAAAGGCTTGTTTTTAACTGCAGCACCTTTAGACAACAAAAGATTGCATCCTGTTCAACCACACTATATAAATTATGACATTTGTGGAAAACATGTACACACAAACATAAAGCAAGTGTCCTAGCCACTGATAAATGTTGCTTTGGTAAGCAGTTTTCAGAAATAATATTGACATCTGATAATATAGTAAGAACTGCCACCATTTTGAGTTTTCCATACCCTATCTTCACGGAACAGGAAGCCTGTAAACAAAAGGTGTAAAAGAAACAAACATGTACAGTACACTCAGTGCACTCTAAAAAGCACTACCTTCACACTCTCAGTCAAGTAATATTCAGGATTAGAATACTGTACCATTTTTAAATGCACTGAGTACTTAAGATGCGAAATTGCAACAAATTCATAATCAGATCCAGCTGATAATGCATCCACTTAAAAAAAATGATGAACTACAAAGACTTAATTCCCCTTAGATGTTTATACCAATGATATGTCCAGTGTTTCATTAGCTCCTTCAAAAATACCATGTTAAAAACATTAAATTAACTTCATCCTAACCAGAGACACATAGACTCTTCTCTACCAAACTGCTAAGCTTTGGTTATATAAAGTGCATTTCAATAATGTGCCATCCCAATCATTCAAATACATCTAGCTATTTTGCAGGTCACCATCATCTTCAACAAAATAATTTTACTTTAGATTCAGTTAGGATTTTCTGTCCATATTCATGTTAAATTGCCAAAATTCTTCCAGAACAATTTGCAATGTGCTTCACAATTCCTAGCTAACTGGCAATGAAGCTTAATAAAGTACATATAGCAATTCATATTTGTGCTACAACACATTCAAGATCTACCTCTGCTTTTTTATCTTTAAATACTTTCATACTTTTTGTTGTATAAAATTTTCAAGTTTTATTATGATACAGGCAGTACATTCCATCACCCTCATGGCAACCTCAGAAGTGAACCTGTCATTTGGGATCTGCGGAAAAGGAAGCAAATCAGGATATCTTGTTTTTAAACTGTCTACACCATAGGCTTCCAATGTATGGACATCATTTGTCAGTCCTTCAAGTTGCTGACTATATTCCTCTATTTTTTGTGCCAGTGCAGTGGGTTTTACATCTTTATCAGACTTGCCCCTCACAGCATAGTCAGCTGCAATCAAAGCTAACTTGGTGGAAAGGTAACATTTAAAGCACACCCACTCATTGGCATTCTTATGAAGGTCATTCCGGGCAGCTGAGAAGTTTGCTCTGGCTTGTCTTAACCATCTGCGTGCTTCAACTGGATTACCAACTGACTTGAAAGTGGGAGGAACAAAGAACCTTTGAGAGTAAGTCTGTCCAGCCGAAGGAGGGCATTTTTCTTTATTTTGTTGTTGCCTTTCAGATTTATGGCTTGTTGCTTCTTGATTCCATGAAGTATAAAACCTTTGAAATGAATACTTGTCTGACTGAAATCGGGATGCCGAGGTTGGAAACGTTCGTCTGGAGGCTCTGTCTGCATTTTGATCTAGGAAAGCCTGTTTTTCCAATCTGTTGATTTCATTCTGCAGGTGTTTAAAAACCTCATTGGCAATGTCGTGATTCTCTGGATTTTTGTCAGGGTGCCATTTCAAATACAACCGCCTAATAATCTTTTTTCGTTCTGATTCTGGAAGTTTCCAAGCTTGTTCCACCACTGATGTCACTTCTTTTAAAATTTCTGGTAAAGAATTAACCTTAAGTTTTTTGGGGGAATGATGTTTTGAAGAGGGAGTCTTGTGGCTCTCTCTACCAGAGAAAAGAGGGGGAATGCTTCTCAGACCCGGGGCAAGGAACTCCGTAGGGCTTGTTGGTGTAGAAGGAGCACTGTCTCTGCTTTGAGAGCTTTCCTCAGGTCTTGAAAACTTATACAGATCAAGGGAGCTAACTATTTTATATTCGCTATAACCAATATCAATCTGATATATCTTTCCTAGAAAACTAGAATTGTCAGCATCTTCTCTTTCAACTTCTTGTACAATGATTGCATATGTGTATGTTGGCTGGTATGAGCCATAGATATCACCACCTTCGGCATCAACAAGGTACCCAACATATTCTCCTGGGTAAAAAACATTCATTGGATCCATAAGCAGAGTGTAGTGAATTTCAGCAGGTATTGGCGTGCCAGGCATTGGAAGCTCCAGTTTTGATGGTTCTGAAGAGTCATATTTCACTCCTAAACTGTCAAGTTTCTCACTGATCCTGTAAATGTCATTGCATCCTAGCATAGCAATTAAATACGAAGTGTCAGAAATCAAATTGTCAGTTGCTGATTTAAGTGTCATTGCTAATGCTAATAGGAAATTAATGTCTTTGCTGTCTGAATGTTGGATGTAGAGCAGGATGACTGCATTGCCAAATCTCTTCAAAAAAGCAAAAGTTTCACTTCTGCTGTGGGGAATAGGATTAAAACCTTTAACTCTTAACGTTGTTTGAAGCTTTTCAAAACAGGACACTTTTAATCCTTCTCTGAGGGCTTTGCAAAGTCTCACGGCTTTTTCTTCATTGGCCAGGAAGGCATTATCATTTTCATGCTTCATAATCCTAATCAGCCCTGTAATGAACTGTTCAGAAGACAAGAGTAACTGCAGCCTTCCCTGAAGCGAACACAATGCTCCAAACTGACAAACTTTGGGAGTCTCTTCATCTAACTGTTCTTCAAGTATACTGCTCAATAAGCGAGGTCTAAGTTTTTGAGGAAAGAGCATTATCAACTTAGTATGAAATCCATGGTCTTTCCCTAAGTAGCACTGGCTGAGATCAACCAGCATTTGCACGCCAATATTCCCCTGGATCCTACTTTTATAATGTGGCGCGTCATCAAACACCAAGATGCTTGACTTCACCAATCTACCATCCTGGCTCGGGAGGTAAAGTGCAAGGTCTCGCACATTCTCAAGATCACCCCTCACCTTGACTGAATCATTTTGTAGACTCTTAAACAGACCAGAAACTACTCTCTTAACTGTACGCATTTCATTAGGATCTAACTGTTTTCCTTCAGAACTCTTGAATATGCGGCTCAACACTTCAACATATTGCTTGGTTGAAATAATATCTTCAGTACCTAAATGTTTGAACAACTGATGAAATGTACCAAGTTCCAATGGCAGCTTATACAAATAAGGTTTAAAATCAGATTCATATTCCAGGTTTATCACTACCTCCTCAGGCTTCAGAAGTTTCCAACCATCTTCTACCATCACAAAAGCAACCCCCCGCAGTTGAAAACGAAACTCCCTTTTTTCTGCACTGAGAAATTCATATATGCTCCTTAAAACCTTTGCTCTGGTTTTTACCATTTCTTCATCCAGAGTTGTTATGTTGCATATGTTCCTGCAGTTATTAATGACTTTGTCAAGAGGGGGATCCAGGTTGACGTTCAGCATACTTAAAACTTGTTCAAGCTGTTCCTG